TGTGGGGGGGGGGTGTGCCTGCACCTCTGTGCCTTTACCATGTGTGCCTGTACCTGTGAATGCATGCCTGTCCCTGTGTATGTGTGTGTGCACACATGCGTGTGCCCACTGTTCCTCAACTTGCATTGTATCCACCTGACCCTGCTGGCCCCTGTGAATCATTCTGCCAGGCCTTGGCATATGAACAGCACAACTCTCCCACTGGAGGGCAGTCAAGCCAAGCAGGCCCTTCCCGTGAGTGCCTAGCAAGTGGCTTCTTCCTCTGATGCTGGCGCGAGGGGCCTGATCTATTGAAACCATGGCTGGGGCTCCCAGTTCCCCTGAGGCCTGACTGGGGGTGTGCACAGGAATCCTGGCTGAGCGGGCGGTGGTGCAGGATCTTACTAGTGGCACGGCCTTGGGCAAATCACTTTGTTTCTCGGCAGTTCCTCATCTATAAAATGGGCAAGGGCGCCTCAGTTCCCGGGTGGGGGACTGGGTGAGGATCAAGCAGCTGGAGGTCCTCCGCACTGCTGTGGGGCCTGGAGAGTGACTGCAGGAAGCAGGAGGCCGAGCAGCCTGAGCACTCTGGGACCATGGTAGCGGGCTGAGGAGAGGGAGCTAATCCAGGAGGAGAGGCCGAGAATGCCAAGCAGTGAGCTCCGCCTTCAAGGGGGGGGGGGAGGGCACTGGGAGCCACAGAGGGTGTTTCAACAGGCCGTCCCCCCACCTGGGTGCCAGAGCCGTACCTTCACATCCCGGTGGGCAATGTTCTGGCTGTGCAGGAACTGGACGGCTGAGCCAATATCCCGCATGATCTCTGCGGCCTCTGCAGACAGAAAGTGGGGAGGGGCCGGTAGTGCCAGTCAAGATCAAGGTCAAGCCACCCTACACTCTTATCACCCCCACCCCCAGGCCCATCCGAGGGGGCCAGCACAAAGAGGCCACGTGCACTCCCACCACCCGAGACTCCCATCCCAGACACCCCACAATCCCTCCAGACAGTCTACAATCCCATCCCAGATGCTCCACAATCCCATCCTAGATACCCCACAATTCCTCCAGATGCCCCACAATCCCTCCAGGCTTGCCACCAGCCCAGCCCAGCCTCCTTCCTCAGTCCTGGGCTGACTCCCCACGCCAGTCAGCCCAAACCCAGACCTCGCAAGTTCACCTCTGACGGTGTCACAGACACACAGCCCCCCTGGGGGGTGGATACCTGTCACACCGTCTCTGGTTCACCTGGAGCCCACAGCACAGAGTGGGACAGGACCTGGTCCAGCAGCATCACACAGCAATGCCGGCCCAAGGCCCTCATGCCAAACCATCCCGTTTCAGCCACGTGGCAACCTACCTCGCTCAGTGAAGGCCTGGTCACCACGCTCCTGAATCCTGCTGAAGAGCTCACCACCTTCCATGCTGCAAGGGAGGGAGGGGAGGAGGGCTGTGAGCGGGGCAGGGGGCGGGGGGCAGGAACTCCTTGGGGAGAAACTATTGTCACCTCCTGGGGGCTCACCGTGCCTGGCTCTGACGGGCTACCTGCTGAGGGAGGTTGAGGAGAACTCTGGGACCTGGGGAGGGTGGATGAGTGGGGCTTCCTCTGGGGAATACCTGTGTTCCCACTGGTCCCGCCCTGGCCGGGCTATGAGGCCTTGGGAAGCGTCCCTCCCCTACGGACCTCAGTTCCCTGCCAATGGAACGCAGTATGAATGAACGATGAATGATCGCCACCATGGCGACCGTCCAGGCACCAGCCATGAGTCCTGCCCTGGGCACCGCATGCCTCTGCACTGCGGACTGGAAGCCTGTCGGCCCTTTCCCCCTCTCTGGTTCCGCTTGCTCTGCCGCACAGGGGGGCAGTCACAGCCCGGCCTCCTGGAGTCGTGAAGCCTGACTAAGAGATGCACTTGGGACGGGGTCCAGCCTCTGGACGCAGCCTGGAGACCCTCCACGTTTCACGCACCCTCCACATGCGTGCTAGAGATGTGGAGGGGTCAGCAGCTGCCCCGTGTCACATGGCTAGTGGGGGACAGGGCCAGGATCTGAACCCTCAATCTAAGGCAAGAAAGGGGAGCCGGGAGAGCTGGATAGGCTCACAGGGAGGAGCTGGGAAAGGACCCAGGCCCAGGGTCTGAGGAAGGTGAACAGAGAGCCACAGTGCAGGTGGAGGCAGCCCCTGGCTCCAATCTCCAATCAGCAGCACTGGCGGCCGGCAGGAGGGGGCAACTGAGGGCAGTGTGTGTCCGCGCGTCCTCAGACTGCCCCAGCGTCCACATTCAGAGCTCCCAACGGCTCTTCCAGCCCCCCTTCACTGAGTGGAGATCACACCAACCCTGCGCCCAAGCGTGCTGCCATCAGGTGCACCCTGACGCAGACAAGTCTGTGGTGCACGGCTGAAGCCCCTGTGGCTCTTCCGCGGCTGTCAGACCCACGGGAGCAGAAAGCCTCATCTCTCTCCCTCGGAGCAGCCAGGGGAGTCAAACCTCTGACCTGGCGGCTGGTGCGAGGCATTACCACCACCCCACCAACACTCCTCGAAACCACACGGGCAGAGACCAGATTTGAGCCCCTTGTGGCAAAGCCCGGTGGGCCTAGTGTGACCTGGTGCGCTCACTGGCTTGGGACAGGGGTAGGGGGTGGCGTACCATTCCATGACGATGAGGAGGCAGCGCTTGTGGTGGTGCATGTTCTCGTACACGTCCAGGATGCGCACGATGTGGGGGCCGCCCGAGGCTTGCCAGTGGTGGTCCACCTCCTGCCGGGCCTTGGGGCTGTCATACAGCAGCTGCGGGCGAGGGGCATCCATCGTCAGCCACCCACAGAGCAGACAGGATGCAGAGCCGCAGCCGGCCCTGTGCCCTGCCCAAGGCCACACAGCTCTGGAGGGCAGGATGCAGCGGGGCTGGGCTCCCCTGACCTGGAGGCCTGAGGGCCAGCTTGGCTGGGCTCCGGAAGGTGACTCGCAGTGGAGCAGGGCTCCGAGATCAGAGAGGCCCTTTCTCCTCAGAAGGGGAGGGGACGGCAAGCAAAGTAGAAACAGAGTGGGTTTCAGAGTTAGACTGGACTTGTGGGATCGACGGGGGTAACAAGCCTCCGGGGATCTCCCTCTGCCCCTAACGGAGGGCCGAGAGGAAAGTGGTCACTAAACAGAGAGGTGAGCATAGGAGATAAAGGGATGTGTTTATCCTTTGATTGAACTTGAACGGTTAAGACTCTGTCCGCTGACACACACATGCTGATGCACGCTGGACCGCATTGGTTTTCAATGTTCCTGTATTTTTGTTTTGTTTTGTTTTTTTAAATCATTTTATTGGGGGGGCGTACAACTTTTATCACAATCCATACATACATCCATGGTGTCAAGCATATTTGTACATTTGTTTCCATCATCATTCTCAAAAATGTTTTCTTTCTACTTGAGCCCTTGGTGTCAGCTCCTTCCTGTATTTTTGTTGTGTGTTCGTATGAGGGGGTCTCTCAGAGGTGTGATGTCATCGGGGTCACCCTCTTGAAGTTGTGTCCTATGCTCTTCTGTCTCTCAGTATAGGAGCCCCAGGACGGAGGAACCTGTGGGGACCCCAAGGAGGAGAAGGGTTTCTGGACGCGGGGCTAAAAGGGAGAGATGTCAAGGACTCCCGAAGGCAAGGAAAGGAATGTTTGGAATCTGATGGTGGTAGCAATTGTACGCACTGCTTGATGGGCCTGAACCGTGGGGTCATGTGCGCTCACTCGCCATGTAATTGTGTTGATGACTCATCAGCTGTGGCCCCTCCGCCAGGGACCACATCCCTCGGGTCTCCGTTTCCTCCTTGTCACCACAGGAAGGCGGGTGGTGGCCCATGCTGGAAGTCGCCATACTGCTCAGTCCCTGCCCTGTGGGCCTCACCATGTGGGGCAAATCAGCCCTAGAGAGGCCCCACCAGGACAGGAGAACAGGGTGGCAGGGAAGGCTGCCTGCAGCAGGGCTGAAGCGCCTCACCCCTCAGCTCCTCCCTCACTGGCTTTGAGGAGCCCAGCCCACAGCAGAGCGGCGCAGGCCGCACCCCCAGGAGGAGCTAGGGGGATGAAGACTTCCCATTCTCAAGGAGAAAGGGGGCCACTGCTCTGGAGAAAAAGCTTCTAACAACGGAGAGGCGGAGAGGCGGGCTCATCACCTGGGGTGAGGCCCTGGCTACTTCCAAAGCACCTTCCCGGCCTTCGCTGCCAGAGAGATGGGGCTGCCTCAAGGTGACCTGGAGGTGAGCGAGGCCCGGATGGATCGGCCCTCCTCCCACGCCTGCAGACCTGGCATGCAGGGTGTGGGCCCAGAGGCGGGGTCTGATCCAAAGGGAGTGGGGCCAGGCCAAGTAAGCTCTGGGTTCAGACTCACTGAGACACACACCCCACCCCACACCCACGGCCGCCCACTCTGGGCCAGGTACGCTGGCTCCCAGGGAGAGCGGAGGGCCAAGCCAGGGCCGCACACTGCGGCTCTCCAGCCATTTGCCGCTCTTCCCTGACAGACGGACGTGTGGCTCTGCGGTCTCAAGGGAACCTTTTTAAAAGACAGTAACCAGATAATGGCGATTTCATCGGTGTGTACAAATACCTGGATGGATGGCTCTTGATTAATTTTGAAACTGCTTTGAAAGACAGGATTGGCTTTCCCCGCACTAGACCAGGGCTCTGACTAGCCCCTTCCCTTCAGCACCAGCAGGCCTTGGATTTCCTCCTCCACAGCACAGGGGCAGCTGGGCCACACCATGCAGGGAGTGGGGGCAGACTCTGGAACCCTGCTCTCTAGGCAAAGGCGGACTGGGCTGTGCTTGGAGGAGTGGGGAAGAGGGTGTAGCATCTCCATCTCTGGGGCTGCCCTTGTCAGCCCTGGCCCAGGAGCACAGGGAGCCGAGCATCTCTAGGGCAGGCCCCTATTCCACTACCCAAGCCACAATAGGAGGGCAGTGGGGAGGGCGCATGGTGCCCGAACACTGTGGATGGATCCCTTGCCCATGCTGCCCGGGCCTCCCAGAATGCCCTGCAGCTCCCCAACCACCCCCTCTGCTTCCCCACCCCACCCTACTCCCGCACCATGCACCAGCAAGCCGTGGGCTCCCTGGGTCCCCTCCCTCCACCCTCCTTCCTCCCTGCCCTGCTCTCTCGGCCCCTGTTCTACTCAGTCTCCTAAACCTCGCCAGCCGGACCTGATCATGGCTCCCGGAGCCCCAAGAGTCGCATCCCCATGCCAGCATCCTCTTTCTGATCTCAGAAACTCCCCAGCCCGTGGCCGGAATTGTTGCTTAGTGTCCTCTCCCCCAGTGGCCACAGACCTCCCCACCCCCCTTCCCAAAGCTGGAGGCCTGCCTCCCTCGCTCACCTCCTTCCCACTCCCCTGGCTCCCAAAACCTTTGGCTCTGGCCCAGATGGTTGACTGGTGATTCCCCAGCAGGCCTCTGTCTCCCAGCAGGCCTCTGGTCGGCAGTCTTCCATGCTCGGGGCTCAGTGCAGGGGTCTCCTCCTCTGGGAAGTTCTCGGCCAGGTTGGCCTTCTGTCTCTGGCCCTCCCTCCGGGATGGGAGCAAGGCCAGGCAGAGAGGCCCAGGTCAGGCTGGTCTGGGCCCCTGGTCGGAGCCTGGCAAAGAACAGGGAGCTCCTGCACAGACTTTACCTGGGGAGCAGAGGGGGAGCAGCTGTGGGGAGGATACACGGGAGTCGGGAGGTCGGCGGCCAAGGCGGGCAAGAGAGTCTGATGGGCCTGGCCCAGCGTGCTCACCCCACGCCCTTGCCCGGCTTTGCCGAGGCTGGGGAACAGGTGGAATTGCCCTGACGGGAAGCCTCCCTTGAGGCAGCTGCCCCTCGCAGCCCAAACTGAGGATCCCATTTCCCACACAGATGAAAATAGTCCTTCCCCAAGTGCCAAGGCCCTGAAAACAAGCGAAAGGCAGGGAGACCTATGCCCCGCCATCTCTGCTGCCGGGGAGACCACACGGACCAGAGCTCGCTGAGCAGCAGGACTGCCAGCCCTCCCTGCCCTGCTGCCCACCAGGGCCCGGGCCGCCGGTCTGACTCCTCGGGCTGACTCCCCGCAAGGCCACCTCCTCCCGGGGCTCTTCTGTCCAGAGTGGGCCTCAGGGGTCCTTCACCCTCGCCCCCCCTCTCTGTTTCCCTTTCTGTATCTGTGGAGGCTGTGAGCGGAGGTCTTGTTTCCACACAGTAAGGTGCACAGGCCTCAGGACAGTGATTGTTGACCATTGCACCCACCTCTGTGGCCACCCCACACCCTGACGAGAAAGAACCTTGCCAGCTCCCCACAAAGCGCCCCCGTGCCCCCTCCCTCCTTGCTGCCTGTGCAGTGCTTGCTTGCAACCTGCAATTAGCTTGTTCCTTTGCTAGCTCTTAAAACGCGCACACACACACACACACACACACAACCACTGCACTGACAGCGTGCCCGACTCTGCTCTCAGCACTTCCTAAACATTGGGAGAAGGAACATTGTTACCACCATGTCATAGAGAACAAAACCAAGGCACAGACAGGGGGATGGCAACTGGGCCTCCTGGGGGTCCACTGTGGCTGCCCTCAGCCAGGCCAGTGCCCCACTGCTCCCCTCATCAGACTGTAGCCACCCCCACCCCACCGGCAGGGCCATGTGGGCCTGGTGACTGCTGG